TACTGGAACAATATTTGAACACCAGTCTGTTGGTTGAATAACTTTTTCTATTATATCTTCTTCCAAGTGTTGAAGCTTCTTTTTTACTTTGGGTAAAATTGGGAAGGATATATGTCTAGTAGTTGGTGTGCAGTATGGTATTGCATCTTTCTTAGTGTAATTTTTACTGGCTCTCCTTTCATACACCCAGTTAATTTCCCACCGTTCTTATTAACATTGGCTACTTTGGCAACAAGTCCCATTTTATATGCCATATCTCTAGATAATAAATTGTCAGTATTATTATTATCTGTTACATAAATGTCAAATGTATACGACTTGTCTTTATATCTCGTATTAACGGTGAATTTTCTTTTACAGGTTAATGAACCACCAGGACTTTTATAAATACCATATACTGGTTTCAAATTTGGTATTTTTTTTTCAATATTCGAAATGTCTTAGAATTAATAAAACTGATATCTGCCCTGGTATCAATTTTAAAAACAATAGGTATTTCATCAACCTTTAGTTTTACATGCTAAGTATCTATTAATTTTTTAATTAATTTTTTATTAATTTTTTTTTTCTGAGTTCTTTATTATGTATTGATCCAAGGAAGTATTCCTCTGATGACTGTTTCCTCATTTCATGTACATTTGCAGTCTTTGACCTGCAACATATTACAAAGTGGTTCATTTTATCACACTTTTGGCAAGTTTTCCCTTTTGACGGGCAGTTGTCAAACTTGTGATATCTGTTGCACTTCTTGCATCTGGATGGAGGCACACTCTCTGGATTTTGAGGATAATTTTTCCCTCCTGGCTGTTTTGTCTTTTGAATTTTCCTCATTACTACATCTACTGAGTTTTCATTAATTTCCTCCATTTGGTTTTTAACTTGTTCATGGCTACAAGCTATCTCAATAGCTTTTTTCTAAACTCAGGTCTTCCTTTAGTTGTAATTTTTCCGATAAATCCTTACTTCTTAGTCCAATAATTAAGTGGTCTCTTATCTGGTCATTTTCTGTCAGTTCATAGATCCTCTGATAAATTTTTCTATTGGTTCTCCATCCTTCAGCATCCTCATGTAAAATTTTGCTTGCTCATGGATTGTTTTTTTCGGCGTGAAATATGTATCATATTTGTTCAATATGTCAATTTTTCTCAACATCCTTTTTTCCTGAAAGAAAATGACTTGTATATCTGTTCAGCTTCTGGTCCCATGCAATATATTAATGTATTAACTTGAGTTTCTGCTGATTCTTCAGATAACTTCAAAGCTGTTCTAAAGCATTGGAATCTCTGGTGCCATGCTGACTATTTTCCAAAGTCTGTCAAGTGAAAATCTTCTGAAGGCTGTAATTTAAACATTTTTTAATTTTTTTTTTTTTTTTTTTAAATTAAAGTTCTTTTCAGTATATTATGTTTAATCCCACTTCTTACATCATGTTTCATATACAAGTGTTGCAATAAATTTAGTAACGACAGAAAAAGCAACATGAAAACCGTAGTAGTCATTTCACTCATTTTATTCAAAAACTGCCCTGAGTCTCGAGGACTCAAAACAATAACAACAAAAACAAGGGGTGTAACCCACCATTGATTACTAATGATACAAAAACAATTACCATTACTACAAATAAATCCGACTTCATAAAATTTAACATTAAGACGAAACTGGCAACTATTTTTTTTATTTTTACTCACTATTTTGTTAACTTAATTTTACCACAAAAAGTTTTTTTTGCTTTTTTGAAAACTGAAACAAATAGATTTCAAACATGTCATATTTCCTTTTTCTCTTCTTCATTTCTTTTGTAAACGAATAGATTTCACATTTATTTCCTAAAACTAGTTAAATGTTTTTTTACATATTTTTGTTCAATCTTTTTCTCTTACAATGGTATAAATGTTGATAAAATTTAATTTTATTAACATCTGAAAGTCTTTATCAATAGTGTTTCTTTGTATATGGTCACTCAGTAGTGATATAAAAATGAAAGCAAATGATTTCGGTTTCGTAAAAAATTTCATTGTGGTTTCACAGCGTGAAGATAAAACTGAAAAATGTTGGTTATTGTCATTTAATACTTGTATTAGCTTATCCAAGTCTTTTTTGTGTTGCTGTTTATCACCACTAAAAACTAGGATGTCATCCAGATATATGAATACACAGTCTAGTTTGAAAAAATATCCTATCCATGTAACACTGAAATGTAGCAGAGGCATTCTTCAAACTGAAAGACATGTATAAGAATTCAAACAGCCAAAAGGGTGTAACTACAGCGGTTTTTGCTATGTCCTTGGGGTGCATTTTTATTTGATGATAGGCAGACAGTAGATCTATTCTGGAAAAGCAGGATTTATTTGCCAATTGTGCTGTAAAAGAATTTATATTGGGTACAGGATATCTATCTGTTTTTGTGATACGATTTAAGGCGCGGTAATCACCGCAAGCTTGATAACTACCGTCTGTTTTTTGTACTAAATGTAAGGGAGAAGCCCATTCACTATTTGAAGGTCTAATTACACTCGTACTTAGTAACTTTTTAAATTCCGCTTGGGCGGTGTCTAATTTAGGTCCAGAAGGTTGCTATGCCTTGGCAAAAACTGATACGTGGCTTTCAGTGTCTATTCTATGATAAACACCACCATATGTTTTATTTTTATCTATTTGTGGCAAAGTAACACTATGATTTCACTAATATGTGCGGCCATATCTATGCCATTCACTATTACATTATCGTTTTTACTGCCGCCTTTCTCTCTGTTATGCTATCGCTAATGCATTTATTTTTACAGTTTACAACTAATTGGAATTGTTTTAAAAAGTTTAACCCTAGAAATAGATTGGTAACGCCAGTGATTACAAAAGTCCATTGATAAGCACACCTTAATGAAGATATTCTTATTTCTAAATTAGCTTGACTATAGCATCTAATACAGTCACCACCAGCAGATGAAAGGTGAATTGGTGTCAGTTCTAAAAGTGCACCAACAACAGCTGAACGAGGCAAGATGGAAACACTAGCGCCTGTATTTATTATAAAATCTATTTTTGTAGCTCCTACCCTAGCTGCTAGTGTTAGTAGTGGCGAACCTGAGGGAGCTAATGCAGTCTGCCCTACTAGTTTTCTGAATCACTATGGGTAGGGAATGAAAGTCGAGAATTTGGTAACATTCACATATTATTCTTTCTCTTATGCAGCCATTTTCACCATGGTTTGCATGTATGAGCCTCGTCGGCAAAGTACAAAGGATCTCTGCAGACTTATGGTCTTTGTTTTGCAGAAAAAACGAAGCAATCCTATGGGAATTTTACTCTTATGTTGTTTGTTTTTAGGTTCTATAGCCTGGCATTTTGAATTAGTGGCATCAAGTTATCACATAGTCTACCTATGTCTGTTAAAGGCATTTCAGTGTGTGCTGCTACAACCAGGGAAATTTTTGGTGGAAGGGCCCTAACAAATTTCTGACATACTATTTTGTTACTTGCCCCAATCCTACTTGCAATAGCCGATATCTCCTGTAAATATAATGATGGACAACCAGTTAATGCGGTGGTTTTCATTAATTTCTCCAACAGCTCTGGTCTTCGTCTTTTCATAAGCAGTCACAACTGATTCTTTGAGTTTCATATAATTTCTTGATTCTAAAACCTGGGTTGGAATGTTTGTAACATTGGGAGGCAAGGCACTAATTACAAGCTTACGGTCAAATCACGCTGAAACACCGGTTCTCGTACGATCACCGAAGTTAAGCAGCGTAGAGCCAGGTCAGTACTTAGATGGGGGACCGCTTAAAAACCTGGTACTATAAGCCCCCCAAAGTCCAACCCTTACCTCACAGTCGGTGGGGGGGGTAAACGGTAGTGTCAGAGCTATGCCGTCCGAACTTCGTTCCTGGTAGGGCCACCCAAGGTGGACAGGTCTGACACACACGCCGCTAACAAGGGCCTGGTGAAAATCCAAGGAGCGTCTGCATCGGTAACCGGCGGCTTCTGGTCGTTCCTGTCTCTGTGTCTGTGGGAACCCCAGCGGCAAGCAAGAACGTTATCCGAGTAGGCCTGGGTACCCTACTTCTGTAATTTATCCCAAGAATCTTCTTCTCATAATAGGAAGAAGCCGGCTCAATCCGCCCAGGATGAATGCCGCATCAGTACAGTACAGTAAGGCACTAATTACAGTGTAAAATTTTGTATTGTCGGAGGTCACTTGTCTCAAATGAAATTGAGATTCAATTATAGTGAACCAACTGGTGATACTGTTCTCCATAAATTGTGGAGTTTTGACACTAAATTGTTGTGCCTCCATTTTTATAAATTGTTTTTATACAACTGTAAATATGTAAGAAGTTAGAGGAAACGTAAGAGGAGAAAATGATAACTTACCCAGATTTATGCTTTTGCCATGTGATCAGTCATGCCGTTTTTTTGTTTCTTTTTCTATTGAAGGGAATTCGTCGAGGTTACTAATATGTCTCTCGTTTTGTGAAGCATGTTTTTTTAACATTGGGGTCATCAGTACAGAATATAGATGAAGGGCTAATACATAAGCAAAGGCCAAGTTTACTGTCTGTAGTTGTGCTGCCCTGAACAAAATGCTAAAAAGCACATTGCTTTAGACAGCCAGTGTAAATTCAAATTCGCAAAACACGGACGAATTTCAAAAGGGATAATAGAGGAAGATGGTGTGTTTTAACTGATAGGCTCAGATGGAAGTGGGGGAAGGAGAAGTACTGTCTCCGCCACAGGTCTCGGAACAATTTTGCACGGTCATTTTTGTGAATTTTCACTTCGACCTGTTGCACTTTTCCATCTCGACTAGGAATGACACGGGTAAATAGTCCCAAGGGTCATTCGTTTCTCTTTGAATCCTGGTCTTTCAAAAGAACTATGCTGCCAGGTTTCAGGTTTGGAATACTGGAAGTCCATTTGCTTCAGGCCTGCAAAAGAGGGAGGTACTGGTCCTTCCACTGGTTCCAAAACGTCTGCACAAGATGTTGAACATGCTTCCATTGTCATCTAGAAACGTCCTTTCTGGTGAAGTTACCAGTCGGTGCAGGAACAGAGCCAATCTTTTGGGCGAGGAGTGTTGAAGGTGTGAGCAGAACTGGGTCCTCTAGGTCTGTGGATACTGGGACAAGTGGTCTGTTATTAACAATGGCAGCGACCTTAGCCAGAAAGGTGGTGAACACTTCATGGGTTAGTTTGGTACTTCCATGTTGCAGCAACATGTAATTGAAAATTCTCTTGGCTATACCTATCAATCTTTCCCACGCTCTACCCATGTGTGGTGCATGCGGAGGGTTGAATAACCAAGTACAACCGTAGTCAGAGAGGTGTTTACTCACCGCACTTGCATCTAGGGTGGAATTGATTTTGAGTTCATTTCTGGCTCTGACAAAATTGGAGCCTTGGTCAGAATGGATAAGTTTTGCAGAACCCCGGATGGAAAAGAAGCGCCTGAGAGCATTTATCAGGCTTGATGTATCGAGTGACTTCAAGACCTCGATGTAAACTGCTCTGGTGGTCATGCATGTAAATATGGTGGCCCACTGCTTGCCCAAGCCTCCTCTGGTCCGACATGAAGTAATGGGCCAAGGCCCCAAAATGTCGAGCCCCACATTTGTGAAGGGAGGTTCCATAGATAGGCGATCTTCTGGTAGGTCTGCCATCTTTTGGATCTGCATAGGTCCACAGGGCTTTCTGCAAATTACACAGTAGTAAATGGTTTTGCTGACATTTCTTTTTCCACCGACAATCCAGAAGCCAGCAGCACGGACTGCGCCCTCTGTAAAGTGACGTCCCTGGTTATGTACCTGCTTATGGTGGTGCCTAATAAGCAGGGATGCTATATGGTGCTTGCTGGATAAGATAACGGGGTGCATCTCGCTATGATCTAGACCTGCTCTTCGTGTGCAACCGCCGATTCTGAGGAGACCTTGATCGTCCACAAATGGATCTAATTTCTTGAGTGCACTACTCTTGGGAAGTTCCCTATGCTCTGTTAATGAAGAGAATTCAAAGCGTACGTGTCTCTGTGCGCCGACCGGAGGACCACATTGTTGGATTGCACCAGTGTTTCTATCGGAAACGTTGCTCGACAGTAATGCCAGCCCTTGCAGTCATTCGACCTAGTCTCTTTCTGAAATGACTGAGAGATGTGGATCAAACGAGCGATTGCCTGTGTAAGTGCCGTCCATGTGGAGAACTTCCTGTAGTGATGAGCACTGAGCAGCACAGGGGATGAGTGGGTGGTGAAGGTTGCCACTACTGGACAGATTTCGACGTCGTTTTCAGGATCAATAAGGCAGTAGAAGTTGGGTTCAAAACGGTTGAACAAGGAGTTGGAGAGGAAAGATGGACTGTTGAGCCAGGCTGTAGCAGACATTTGGATGGCAGGAATTGATCTGGTTCCATAGTCAGCTGGGTTTTTATCCGTGGGTATGTAATGCCACTGTTCAGGCTGAGATGATTGACGGATGTGCAGAACTTGTTTGCTGACATAGACATAAAAGCGGTGATGTTCATGGCCTATATAGCCAAGAATGACTTTGCTATCAGTGAAAAAGATGGTAGAGTTCACTTGCATATCAAGCTCTGAGAGAATCATATCTGCCAATTCAACCGCCACGATGGCAGCACAGAGTTCCAGTCTGGTTGTGGTGCCAATTTCATTTTCCCCATGATAAAACCCACCTCACAAGTACCATCAAGATAGGTGACTCTGAGGTAGGCTACTGCTGCAATCACCTTAGTCGACACGTCTGAGAAGACACACAACTTCCTGGAAGATGCTGCAGTGGGTGATTAGTGGTGTAAGTCCTTGGTATCTGGAGGTTGTGGAGTTCTTGTAGGGAGTCGCACTATGCAGTCCAAAGTTTCTCCTGAGGAGGTAAAGGAGTATCCTAATCAAACTTATCGGATGTCAGCTCCCATAAAATGAACTTGCCTTGGATGATAACCAGAGCTACGAAACCAAGAGGGTCGTAGAGGCTGTTGATTGTTGACAAGATGCCTCTGCGTGTATAAGGCTTCTTTTCATCTGCAACTCAAAAAGGTCCCAATCAAGTCCCAGGCTACATTGCATCGGTACAGCCTCTTCATTGAGGTCCAGATCTTTGATATCACTGGCAAGATCCCCTGTAGGGAAAGTGTCCAGAACCTCCTTTTTTATTGGAGGCTATTTTATGTAGTCTCAAGTTGGATGCTGCCAGAACATTTTGGGTTTCCTTCAAGGAGATGGTACTGAATGACAGCAGGGCTGCAATTCAGATGTGTCCCTCTGACAGATTTCCTGAGACAGTAAGTTGCCACTGCTGGTGATGGACTGTTGCCGAATACATGGACTTTCATCCTAGATTCGACTATTTCCTTATCATGGTCATTGTCTTTATACCACAGGAACCGCAGAAAGTCTCTGTGCTCTCTTTTAACGAGAAAACAGAAAAACATTTGCTCAACATCAGCCATAATTGCCATGGGCTTTCTTCGGAAACAGATCAGAACTCCTATCAAGTTGTTGTTTAGATCTGGCCCGGTTAATAGGGCGTTATTCAATGATACTCCATTATATTGGACACTGGAGTCAAAGACAACTCTAATTTTGTTTGGTTTCTTCGGGTGGTAAATGCCGTACATAGGCAAGTACCATCTCTCTTCTTGCTGTTTGAGTGGAGGGGCAGCCTCTGCTTGGTCATTAGCAAAAAAATTTTCCATGAAGGAGAAGGCCTGAATTGGCGAGTCAGTGAGTTGAACCAACTCACTGCTTGTTGTCGGTTGTTAGGAAGTCGAAGTCTGGGTGGCTTGAGTGGAAGAGGTGCCACCCAGCTGCAGCGACTATTCTTCCTCACGCCTTTTTCCATGATATCGAGGAAGATTCTGTCTTCTATAGAGTAGGCCAGTCAGTTGTTTTCCTTAGTCAGTTGAAACACAGAGCTACCCAATTCTTTCTGGTGGTATCTTTCCTTGGCCTGGAACGTATTGGAACAAGGCCCAAAGTTTGTTGGGCGGCCTCCTTCTTGGGTGCTGGTGAAGGTGGTGTCTACAGTGGATGGTTTATGCGTTCCCCCAAGGCATGCATTCCACACTATCACCTATCCCATGTCTAGTTTCTAAGCATAAGGGGTGCTGTGAGGACTGCTGATCTGGGTGTGAACCTTATGTACATTGATAATGTCACGACCCAGGAGTAGCAAAATAGGGGCCTCATGGTCCAAGTTGAGGATCTCCGCTGCCGTGCTAGCCAAATACTTGTGATGAAGGGCTGGTTCTGGTGTTCTGATTTCCCAGCGATTATCCGGCACATCAGCACACTCAATTAGTGTTGGAAGGTGGAGGCTGATGAGTTCCATCTATGGATTCAATTCTGTACCCATAGGCTCTTCTCCCAATCGTTTCTATGACCCCAGCACAGGTCCTGAGTGAGTAAGAAGATGTGGGGACGCAGTTGCTGAACAACTCGAAAAACTCTGGATGAGCAAGTGACTTGTTGCTATGTTTGTCGATCACAGCATACATCCTGACTGCCTTGTTTCTCTGGCCTTGGGGATGTACCTTCACCAGGCAAAATTTCAAACAGGATTTGTCAATTAGGTTGCGACCATAAACCTGTGTGCAGTGGGCTGTAACATCGTTGTTCACCCTGCCATGGTTTGGCATGGCTCTGATGGGCATCGTTTGAGGTACAGGTCCAGGATGAAGGGCAGTGTTGTGGCTTTCACTGCCACATTCAGCGCATTTAGGCTTGAACCTGCAGTCCTTGTTGGCATGGGTAGAACAACATCAGAAACAGATGTTGTGTTGTCTCATATAGGCTTGCCTCTCCAGAAAAGGTTTACTTCTAAATGCCCGGCAACTGCAAAGAGGGTGAGGCAGGTTATGGATGGGGCATATCTCTTTGATGTCCTTAGATGCAATTTGAGTCTTGTGGACCGAAATCTCTTTTCGATGTGGTGTTGTTGCTCGGTCCATGTTTTGTGAGGGCCAAGTATCTGTGCTAAGATGAAAGCTGGGGTCGTTCCTGTCCTCTGCTTGCTACTCAATGAATTTAGTAAACACAGAGAATGGGGAGAATGGCACTTGATATTTCTGCTTGTATGCAGTGCCATGGGAGGTCCATTGGTCCCATAGTGTAGGTGGAAGCTTCTCCACTATAGGCCTGAGACCCCGAGCAGTCTCCAGGAGGGCAAGACCAGGGAGATCACCATCGTCCTTAGCTGCTTGGAGTTCGGTGAAGAGGTCACTTAGCTCCCTCAGTCTGTAGTAGTCCATGGTCACCTTTGGAAACCTATGGATCCTTTCGAAGAGTGAGTCTTCGATGGCTTCCAGGGACCCGTAGATTTTTTCCAAAGACTTTCATATTTCCTGCAGGCCCTTCTCAGGATAGTTAAGGTAGGCTGTCCTTAAATGGTTGGCATGCTCAGTAGAGGCAGGGGCTGAGTCATTTCACAAGCAAGTTCATTTCTTCACATAGGGTCAAATGCATGTCGATAATGGAGTTGTGAAATGAATGTCTCCATGCTTGATAGTCCTTAGGTCTGTCTGAGAATTTCAACATACTGGCTTGAAGTAATTCTCACCGGGCGAAGTAACGCATTAGGTCACTGAAATAGTCATGGCAGTTTTCAGTTGGGCACCTCCTTCGATAATCATCAGATGGATCAGGCTTGGGATCAGGGAAGTAGCAGAAGGAGGCTTCTGAGTTGGTGGGCTGATCAGATTGGGATGCAAGAGATCGTATGTGTTGCAGAGCAGAAGGTTGTACCGATTGCAGAGCGGCAAGGGTTGCGAGTTGAGTTGAGCAGTCTATTTGGCTATATATTCTCTCGTGCACTGAAAATTTGTCCAGGCATGGTTAAAGGTTTACCAAAGACTAACTCTGCGCTGGTACACTTTAAGTCCTGTTTTACAGTGTTGCGCAGTGCAAGCATGACAAAAGGTAGCTTGTCCACCCAGGTACGACCATTGGTGGATGCTATAAGAGCATACTTTAACTGCCTGTGAAACCTCTCCACCAGGCCATTGCTACAGGGGTGATAAGCTGTGGTGGAGATGTGCTTGATTCCTAGTAGGTTTTAAATTCGCTAAATAGCATAGATTGGAACTGTGGACCTCTATCAGTAGTAATGACCGATGGGCACCCGAATATTGAAATCCAATGAGTGAAGACTGCATTTGCCACTGTTTCTGCTGTTATCGATGACAATGGTATCGCTACTGGCCATCGTGTGAAACGGTCAATGATGGTAAGTATATATTCGTTTCCGTTCACACGATCCAGGGGACCGACTAAGTCCACATGTGTGTGTGTAAAGCGACCATCAGGGTTCGGAAAGGTTGACGAAGGTGCTTTGCCTATTTTGGTTGCCTGGCAACGTTGACACGTGCGGGACCACTGTTTGACGTCAGTTGCCATACCGGGCCAGACAGATCTGTCTGATATGGTCCGCAACATTGCTTTAGCATCAGGGTGAGCTTGTGAATGAAAATGTTAAAATATTGGTTGTCACATTGACGGAGGAAGATAAGGGCATGGACTGCCTGTGCTGATATCACAATATACTAATTTGCTGGTAAACGATCATGGTCTCTTTTCAATCTGTAAAGAGGTATTGGATCGAATAGATGAAAAAGTCTCGTCATTAAGCTGCTCGTATGCAAAGGGTACCAAAATTGAGTGCAGCAGGCTGTACTGTATTGAGATAATGCTCCTGCGATGGTGTTACTGAAGCAAATTTTGATTGTTGAGATGTGATATGCCGCGATTGGAATATTGCGTCCAGCTGCAGGAACCATGTCTGGACATTGCAGTTATATGCTGACATTTCCAGTCTACCTGATGCTTCTGTTGAAGGAATAGGGTCAGCTGTGTTGAGCAGGTAGTAAGTTGGAGGGAAGACAGTTCTTTGCACCTTTTAGAGTTACGCAAAAAAATCTGTTTGTGATGTGATGGAAATATTCTTCAAGATGCTGCGTATTGTTGAAAATCACGTTTTTATATTTCCGGGAGCGTTGGTGGTTAACAATTTTAGTTGCAGTGGATTATTTTTTTTTTTTTTTTTTTTTTAAAGAAACGTCGGCGTCACCAATTTTGTTGCAGTGGTTCAAATTTCTTTCTTTTATAGGTTCTGGAAAGGAAAAATAGGCTCAAACACATTTGAGCACCAAAGGGATTTTTCACGTGCATACTTAGTTTTTTTAAGGCTGTTGGCCAATGAGAAGTTGAGTTTGTCACAATTAGTGTTTTGATTGGATAACAGGTGTGTTGGTATAAGAATGGATTGTTCTGCAAAGAGGGGTGAAAGGTAACGTGGATTATTCCTCTCACACACACACACACATGCACACACACACACACACTCTCTCTCTCTCTCTCTCTCTCTCCCGAACTTTTACACCCCTACTACTGAGCTCTATAAAGATTTTTATATGACTCTATCTTGATAATTGAATTGATCACTTGAAAAGCTTTACATTTTGTAGGAGAATATAAGATGAAAATCAAAGAAAAAACAAATTCCAACGAATTTTTTACATAAAAGAATTTGCTTTCACCAATCTCTTTTTTATTTAATCAGATTTTTTTTTTATTTAAAAGCTTTTTGTGTCCCATTTTTACTTGACCTCATTTTTGTTTATTAGTTTTAAAACTAAAACATTTTTTACTAACCAAAGTCCATATTTTTCACAATGATTTTTATATGAATTTCTATTTTTTTATCGGCAAAGAATCTAAAACTTGATCTCGGTACTGCTTATTTTGCAATGTTGTTTTTTGTTTTTTGTTTTTTCTCTTCTAATAAATAAAGATTGATCCATTATTTCAATGTTTTGATTTCTTTTTGTCAAATATTTTTTTTATTGACAGTGAAAATGTAATTTCCACACAGATTCAAAAAAGTTTAGTTTTTATTTCACACATGAAGTAATGACATTATTCTAAAACAAATTTCAACTTGTGCCTTTATTAATAAACATCATAGAACTGATTTCAGTAATGTCAACATAATAAATATTTGTTAAAGTAACAAGGAAAAAAACCTACTGCCACTAGAAATATGGTTCAATAAAAGGATGGATGGAGTAAGCAACAAGGAAGTCTAAACACTGCATTAGTCACCTCAGATTTCTGAAATTGAATAGTCCCTTCCTACTATAACTGTGTTGCAACATATGCGAGTCAGAGGAGTTGTGGGAGGGAGCAAAAGAAACAAGTTACCAACTAGGAATTATGAGTACTTCAGAAATTTCCGGGTAAAAAAAAAACATCCCTATGTGACTAATGCAGGTTTAAAGAAAATAGCAACAGAAAGAACACTTTTACTTGAAATCAGGAAAGGAGAGGTGAAATTCCTTGGATGCTTAAGGAGGACTTAGAAAAATGGCCCTTACACAACATATTGAGGGCAAGGGTGATCGGGGAAGGTGGCGGCCACTTACTTGAGTGGATGGCAGAACAGGAGCTGGGCTTAGCAAAGGGAAAAAAACTAAAAACCATACAAGATAGGCAATCATGGAACTCCACAACTTCCTATATCCTGAAGGGATATGCCGCAAAAAAGATGACTGACAGGGCTCTGTCAATACAAACACTCATACTCAAAATCAGGAAAAAACAGCTGAAACTCCTTGGATACATAATGAGGGCTTGGAAAACTTATCAAGGAGCATATTGACAGAAAAAGACAAAGAGCCATTTACCTGATGAGCTTGTGTGAATGGATGGCAGAACAAGAGGTTAACAAGAACAAAAACTGCTAAGAATCACTAGATATAGAAAGTTGTGGAGAGCCATGATCGCCTATGTTCTGAATGAATACAGCACATATAAGATTTTCAATTCAAAAAAATTGTTCATGTGCAC